ATCGAATTTTAAATGTAAGGAAATTTTATTTTCTGGAATTAACATTTGACCGAAAATGAATATGAGAGAATAATATTATGATCGAATCGACATGTGCTGCAATTATAAATTATCATAATTTCTGTTTGTCTGAATTTTAACATAACCTAATTTTAAATGTTAGAATTCTTAAAGTTTGTAAGGAAGATGGAACCGAAATGTAATATAAAGTAAAGGCATTTTCATAGAATTAGTTTTGAGGATAATAATTATATACACGAATAATAAAGAAATCTATTTTCAAATGTAAATAATAACTAAATAGTCGAAATTAAATTAAACCGAATTTTAAAATAAAATTCGGTTTAATTTAATTTCGACTATTTCAACTTTCGGCAGAATAAAAAATCGACCATTTTAAAATTCTATTAGTTATGTTTTTGTGCAAATATAAATTATGTCAGATTATAAATCTAGAAAAACAAATTCGTTTCAAAAGTTATTATTTACATTTGAAAATAGATTTCTTTATTATTCGTGTATATAATTATTATCCTCAAAACTAATTCTATGAAAATGCCTTTACTTTATATTACATTTCGGTTCCATCTTCCTTACAAACTTTAAGAATTCTAACATTTAAAATTAGGTTATGTTAAAATTCAGACAAACAGAAATTATGATAATTTATAATTGCAGCACATGTCGATTCGATCATAATATTATTCTCTCATATTCATTTTCGGTCAAATGTTAATTCCAGAAAATAAAATTTCCTTACATTTAAAATTCGATAAAAATAAATTCGTAACAGGTGTATTCCACGTCAGTTCAACACAAAAAATTTTATTAGGTTTTGGGATTCGGTTGAAATTGGGTAGATTATATCCTCTGGTGGTAATAAATAAAATCCCCAAGCGATTTTAAAAAATTTCAAAAACTGGCGGACATATTGGATTTTTAATTTTTTTGTACTTTTTTTTGAAAAATATATATCTCTGCTTCTTCTTAACGGATTTTAGTTTATGACCTCTTAAATTGTTCGTATTGAAATATGCTTTTATTTAAAAAATTAAAATTAAAAAAATTATTTAAATTTTTTGTTTAAAAAATTAATTTAATTTTTTGAAAAGCCATAGAAAAAATATGCTACCTTCAATTTTTATCATTTTTTTACCATTTGTAGCCATAAATGTGTTGAACTTGTCCTGAAATTTTCATCGTGGGACAGCCAGTAGTTTTTGAGAAAAAAAATAAAACGTAAATCCTCGCATAGCGCTGTAGCGCTCAGTTTTAATGCCGCACGATTGTAAATGGAATTTTAATGAAAGTACGAGTTTTTATTAACCCTAGAACTAAAATATGATTTTTTTATAGACTAACGAAAAACTGGGGAGGTTTGGTACCCCAGATTTGAAACAATTGTAAAAGGTTACCTTTTTTGTAATTTTTTTAATTTGTCAACAATGTGGCTAATTTAAAAAAATTAAACGGATTTTAAAAGGTAAATAAAGAAAAACTGTAAGACCTCGGAAACTCCCCCGTAAAAAATAGAAACCTCTTTTGTAATAAATGATTTTTATTCTATTTTAAAATCATTTAACATTTGTATATATTGTAAATAATATTTAAATTTTCAAGTTGCCTTAATCAAAATAAAATTGTCTCTATTTACCTTTTAAAATCCGTTTAATTTTTTCAAATTAGCCACATTGTTGACAAATTAAAAAAATTACAAAAAAGGTAACCTTTTACAATTGTTTCAAATCTGGGGTACCAAACCTCCCCAGTTTTTCGTTAGACTATAAAAAAATCATATTTTAGTTCTAGGGTTAATAAAAACTCGTACTTTCATTAAAATTCCATTTACAATCGTGCGGCATTAAAACTGAGCGCTACAGCGTTATGCGAGGATTTACGTTTTATTTTTTTTCTCAAAAACTACTGGCTGTCCCACGATGAAAAATTCAGGACAAGTTCAACACATTTATGGCTACAAATGGTAAAAAAATGATAAAAATTGAAGGTAGCATATTTTTTCTATGGCTTTTCAAAAAATTAAATTAATTTTTTAAACAAAAAATTTAAATAATTTTTTTAATTTTAATTTTTTAAATAAAAGCATATTTCAATACGAACAATTTAAGAGGTCATAAACTAAAATCCGTTAAGAAGAAGCAGAGATATATATTTTTCAAAAAAAAGTACAAAAAAATTAAAAATCCAATATGTCCGCCAGTTTTTGAAATTTTTTAAAATCGCTTGGGGATTTTATTTATTACCACCAGAGGATATAATCTACCCAATTTCAACCGAATCCCAAAACCTAATAAAATTTTTTGTGTTGAACTGACGTGGAATACACCAACAATATTGTAACGAGCGACGTTTATCTCGCTCTACTGATAATCGATAAATCGAATCTCGATATATCGATGAGATTTCTTTTAATTAATTTAAATATACTAGCGCAGTCGACGGCCGCAAGCGGCCGTCTCCTTTGCCGTTCTCTGCCATTTCTCAATTCAGTTCCCTGCCTAATTTTTAATTAATTACAATTTTTCTTTTTTCTTTGTGAATTTCATATACAATTAAACTTACACAAACATATAAGCGTAAGGCATATGAAACTGGCGAACGCTAAGCATTAAATAGGGAATTATCTTTAACTGTTCTACGCCATTTCTAAATTTAGTTTGCTGCCTAATTTGGAATTAATTCTAATAACTTTAATTTCATTACATTTAAATATAAGATTTAAACTCCTGCCCTATTATAATTATATTCTTTGTTACTATTATTAATAATTACTTATTATTTTCAATAATATTGATTTCAATTTATTTATTCTAATTTCTTTTTTAATAAACATAAATTGATAAATATATACCATTTGTCTAGTTTTAATTATCTGATGCTGAATTAGAATGTATGTTCATTGTTATTAATAATATTAAAAAAAGTTTTTTGTTTATTTAATTTTCTTAATTACTTTTAATTAAAAAATGAATAAAAATAAATATTTATTTTTTATCAATTTCAAAAAAGGCTATCAACATTTTAAAAGTTAGCGCCAACAATTGGACAACCGCAGCTCCATCTGCAACATGCACTTTGCTTATGAGTATGCCTTTCTCCATAATGCTTTTTTCCTAATCGCGCTGCGAGTTCTCTTCGATATTTTCGATATTCGATCTTGCCCATGCCTTCATGCTTTTTTTTGGTAGGAAATTAATAATTTTAAGTAAAATGTTAATTCTAAATCGTGAGAGATGGCACAGCTTTTTAGATTTCGAATTATAAAACGAATCGTCTTTCAATTTATTAAATAGAATAAATATTGGAAAATATATACACAAAAACCTCTTTATCTGCTCCGAGAATTAACTCGTAAAATAAGCTATTATATTTCCCTAAAGTCTTCTTGGTATTTCCACTTAGGAATACTTCATATAAACAAAATCTAAATAAGTATCGAATATCTTTTCCTTTGACAAAGAAGTTTTGAAATACGCATTAATTCGGCAAAATGCGTTTCATTCCTTTATTCATAACTAATGTTAATAATTTGTTAATAATATGTGTAATGGTATTCATAAATATTAATTAATGTTTAAACTATTAAGTGTAAATAAACTATAAAACTTATTAGTGTATAAAATACAATAATTGTTATTAATTAATGAAATAGAATAAGACAGTATGTAATATATTTGATTTGTAATGTCTGATAAATGTATGACTTTTAGAAACAATGAGTATGACTGTATGAGTGTAAAATGTACAGTTGATGAGAAGAGAAGTGTATAGAAATGTACAGTGAATTGGTGATGAACGTACGTCACTCAGGACTTGCGCAGTGAACAATATTATGTACTTAGAGCGGAGTCGCAGATCTCCTCTCGTTGCTCTTTAGTATTAAGACTAATCTCGAACTGAAAGGTTGCATTTTGTAAAGTTGACTTTTATAATAAACTAAAAGGGTTTCCTCACGAAGCAAGTAGAACTAATGATTGATTAATATAAATATTAATCATTAATTGGTTCCTCCTATTCGTAAGAGTTTTTCCCTCCGTTTTAACGGAATTACTTCTGTATTTATTTGAAATTTCCCGGTCCCTTTTCAGGGATATTACTAAGAATGAATCCGCGAATCAAATACGAGTGAATTTGCACAGTACCCATAGTACCGCTCGTAACAATATAGATTCTGAGGTTGTGAATTCGGCGTAATAGTCATTATGTGCAACAGGGATGGGTACGTAACATACTTCATGTATGTTACCCGGGTTTGTTACGTATGTTACGCATGTATGTAACTCGTTTGGTTTGCTACCCTACGTATGTTACATTTTATGACGTCAGTCAGAAGTAAACATAACCTCAATTTTTCTGGTTGTCGCCAATCCGGCACTTGGCCTTGTTTATTATTATTCTTTTAATTAATCATAAGTCCTGGAAATTATTGTTTTAAAAATGAAACGAGGTGGAAGGCCTCTTAATAAACCCTTTTTTCAACAACTTAGTTTTACTCCTACCAAATTAGAAAACGGGAGAGTAGGAAAGTAGTTTGGATTTAAAGTATTAATAAATTTTTTTAAAAAATAGGACTCCACAACCGTAAATGGAATGTTGCATCCAAAAAAAAACATTCCCAGACTAAAGTCTTCTTTTGATAATTCCATTTTAGATTGTTTTCCTGTTCCTAAAAATATAAAAAATCCGTTACTTAATTTATACGTTTATAAGACTTTCTACAGGATCAAATATCTATTACATTAAATTTTTATAACTTAATTTATTGAATCCAAAATCATTCTACTGGAAATTTATATACTTTATACATGTAACTATAAATTATTAATTTTATAATTATTTTACAAAAGTGAGGTTATGACGCACCTTTGATGTTTGCTACGTTTGCGACAATTTGTTACGTATGTTACTCATTTATGTAACATACGTAGAAAACCTCGAGTTTGTTACATTTACCCATCCCTGATGTGCAATTCATTTTGGTATTGTAGATTCATCTCTATTATTGTTGTGTCGGACGCGATTGTTGTGATTCTATATCAACTCCGCTTTGAAATTGATATTTTGATCTAAAAAAAAATCTCAAACATGGGAGTCACTGTGTAAGCATATTATGAAAATTTTTCCACTATTTCCATATTAAATTAAAGACAAATATTTCGTATTATGTGAGTTATCAGTATTTTTGGTTGTTTTGAGGTTATGGCGGTAAGGCGGTGTCAACACATGTTGTCTGTTGATCTATAATTATATATTCAAATTGATTAATTAATTAGTTAATCAATTATTAATTGAAGAAAAATTGTTTCTTTCTAATTTTGATATTTTAGTAGAATTTTTTGTTGATTGTCAAAATTTTCTGACAGGTTGCAACAATTTCCTATGACAGAAAATAGGACAGGACCGCAGACAATTGAGTTTTTGACGAAACGAATTGTCGCTTTAGGAGCTGTGCAGTCTGGTCATTTTTTAGTTGATTGTGAAACATTTATGTCTGTTCCTCAATTGGGTGAGTCTCATTTAAAAAAATCTTATTATTATTTGCAGAAATTTGATCCTCGTGGCTTTTATTTTTTGATTTCAAAAGCGATTCAACAGAAACAGGGTGGCCACATGTCAGTAAAGTCAGGGAAATGTGAGGGAAAAAAAATATTTTGTCAGTAAAGTCAGGGAAATGTCAGGAAAAAAAAATTTTTGTCAGAAAAGTCAGGGAAATGTCAGGAAAAATTTTTTTGTCAGGGCAATTAAAGAAATTAAGACGGTCATACAATACATTTTTTGCTCTAAACAAAAAAATTTTTGTCAGGGAAATTCGTTTTTATGTCAGTAAAATGTCAGGGAAATTGATAAAGTCAATCTTGCGGCCACCCTGAGAAAGTGTTTTCTTGATGTTTACAAGTTTTTTGAATATATTTGAGAATGAAATATAGAAAATACATTCTATATAGATATTTTAATTGTAATTAAAAAGATTCTTCTTAGGGCCGGTTCCACAACTTCGACTTTAAACCGAGTTCATTTTTAATCAAAGTTCTAACCGCGAGTTTACGATGCATGCGTTCCACAACAGATTTTTGAGCGTCGTTTAACTAAACGTATACCTCCTTCGTCATAATTTTATTTTTCTCCTATTTCTATTATATTTGACAATTTCATTGGGCGAAGTAAAAAGCGGAACATTGAGACAAGTTTTGAAAAAGCAAAGCGTTGACAGTTGACACATATAGAATCCAGTCGAATCTTTCTGAATCATTTGTGTTAAAAGTATATTGTATATATATATATATTGTTTAAAACGCTATAAAAATATCAGTGAAATTAAAAACGGAAATTTAATGTATAATAAAAATAATTTTTTTCGATTCTAGGAGGAAATATTTTTATTTATAATAATACTCACACATATGAATTTAATTTTAAAACATTAATAAACAAAAGTTGTAAATTCAGATGTTCATTACATGAACATTTTGTTTCATCTTTACGATCATCAAAAAAATCTATAACAATTTTTATTAAAAAAGTCAATTTTTCACCTTTAATTGTGATTAATTCTATTAATTTTAAATACACCCTATATTTTATTAACTACACCAATCTATTCTATTTCTGCATTTAAATTAAATGAATTTTTAACAAAAATGCGAATTTTTTGGCTTTAATTGTGATTAGTTCTATAAATTCAAATACAAGTTATATACTTTATATACACTCATCGACTCGTGTTGATATAAGGAATAAAAATTTTGATTAATATTATAGTTAAAAAAAAATTTTATCTGGAATTTTTAAAAATCTTTGGGTTGGTCGATTCTTCTATCTGCATAAAAAATTCTTCAACCGTGAAATTGACATTTTTTATTTTTTATACATAATTTTTAATATTATATACAAGATAAAAATATTATTATTTTTTGTTGGAAACTTAACCTCAGCTTCAAACTACTATACATATATGACGTACAAAACTATGGTGGGGAGAGATTTAACCGAGGTTTAAAGAGTTAAACCTCCAACTTTGGCCGGTTAATTTCAACCAGGGTTTAGCCATTTTGACCCGAGTTTAAAAATTTGTGGAACGCATAATTTTCACTAAACCGAGTTTACCGTCTTAAACTCTGGTTAAATAAAGTTGTGGAACTGGCCCTTAATGTTAGATGTTAGTTAAAAGAATTTTAAAATTAATATTTTTGAAAATATTTGAAAAAAGAATTTTTTCGTCCTATAAATTTCACAATTTTTTCGATTAGTTTTTCTATGCAGGTCTCAGATAGTTCGACTTTTTTTTTTTTTACTATTTTTGACTATTTTTATAAAGGCGACTTTTTTTCGATTTATTTTCAAAAAATTCGACTCTTTCGTCTTTTTTTCCAAATATTGCAACAAAATACTACTTTTTTTTATATAAAATGCAAATTATTTCTATTTTTATAATGTTAAAAATAACTCTAGTCAAATATTTCAAAATTTAATTTTGATTAATTTATCTATCAGATAATTAAATTTCCTAAATATAAATATAAAAAATAAAAATATAAAACGTGACACAATGTATTTTTACATGTAAAATTGCATGAAATTGCGTGACAGGGGGGAGGGGGGGGGTCTAAAATCCCGAAAAATTGCGTGACATCATTTGTGAACGCTTCTTTAATACTGAATTAAATAATAATAATAATTAAATTAATATGGCATAACAAGTTTTTAAAGAATATTATTTTTTAGAACTTTTTTAAAAATTATACATTTTTTTAAGTATTTCGTTAAAATTTTTAAAAATCAAATTTTGGAAAATTTTATAACTGCAAATTTTTTAAATAATCATGGTTGCCACACAACCTGGAAAACCTGGAAATAGCATGGAATTTGAACGAATTTCTGGAATTTTTTTGGGTTAATGAAAGATATTAAGAAAAATTTAATTCAACATGTTATTTTTCTTTAAAAATGTTAACATGCAATTTTCCTTTTCCATGTTATCTTCTCTTTAAATTAATTTAATTTCTTTTTAATTATTGACTAAATTAAATTAATTTAATTTTTCTTTTTAATTATTGACTAAAACTGTAAAAAATAGGATTTTATATCTTTATTAGTATTACGATTGTCAAAATTTTTTGTTACCAGTTGCTTTTTGTTCAAGATTTTGAACAAAGTTTGAAGATGAAAATTATTTAATTTAGACATGACTTCAATGTGCTAATTATGGCTGATTCTTCTAAAAGTGACATTTTTGATATCTCGATTAATTTTATAAAATCTACTCTCTGATAATATTATTAACCATTTTCATAGAAAAAATTTAGCACTTACTTATCATTAAAAAAATTAAACAATTTTATTTAACTGAATTTATACAATGCCTAAAATAATTTCATCTTTAAAGTCTTTTTAAAATGTCTCCAATAGGAGTTCTATAAGAAAACTAAATTTTTATGGTTTTTTTTCAAACTCTTAGAAATTTTTTAAAAATAATGCCAGAAAATACAATGTTTTTTCTATCATTATGTGCATTTTAAAAATTTTTTGACCTCCGTTTTATATGTGATAAAAATGTTTAAATTTTGTCTTCCGTTTATGTTAAAATTACTTCACGATGATTAATAATGTTTTTATACATTAAAAATATTCTAAAAAAATGTGAATGCACATTAAAATAAATTAATGGTCTGATTGCTTTTATTTTTGATTATTGCTTTTATAAATATTCAAATTTTACATATTGGCCCGAGTAAAATTCAAAGAAGAAAGACTTTAATATTTTCAAATTAATTTTGCGCAACTTAAATTCTTACTGTTGAGTATGAAATAAAGTAGTTTCAATAGAAAAAACCATATAATTTTAAAAAAATATATTGAAAAATCGAATATCAAAAGTATCACTTTCAGAAAAATAAACATAAAAATGCAGTTTTGTAAAATACTTGTTTTTTCATCATAAATAATTCCTAAATTTTAACCTGGAATTTTTAATATTTAAATCCGTTGATAATTTAGTTTGAACCTCTATCGTTTGACACCTGCAGTGCCGCCAAAAGTTTTGCTCTAGGAAAAGCTCTATCTCCTGTTAAAATACGTCTGGGGTGTCTGGACATCCCAGTTACTCCCTAACGTTAGAAACATTATCAAAATAAGTAAATTCAAATTTTTTTAAAAACTCGTTTTCAATCAGTTAAAATCATCTGATAAAGTATAAATTGATAGGTTATGCATGAAAAAGTTGTATTTTATAAAAAAGAAACATTTTTATCCAAAAATTATATTTTTATGAAAAATAGACAATAATCTGTATTTGTAACAACTTATGAAATTTGAGTTAAGATTTATTAAAAATTTCTGTGCTCTCTCTACAGTCAGAGATTAAATTCTAACACAAAAAAATGTGGTAAATGACAGTCAAATTTAAATTATAAATTCTATATTGTAAATAATATTTTATCATATATTAGAGGTATTTAAAATTGTTAATTAAAACTTTGATTAATGATAAATCGTCCAAACGCCCGTCCTGCCGGAAGGACGTTCCGAAAAAAGGCTTTTAAAAAAAGGGAATTCAACTTTTCTTTTCTGGCACTCCTTGGGATTGAAATAGACGAAAAGACGAAAAAATCCATATTTTTGACTTTTTAAAATAATAATTTAAACCATTTTTCAAAGCCTTCAAACTTGCTATGTTTTTAAACAGTGAAAAAATCATTTTTTCGTAAATTTAATGTAAAATCCCCAAAAATCAATATTTTTTGACCGGACATTTTTTGACAAAACTAAATATATCGTTGGAAAGGTAATGAAACAAGCTTTCAAATGATGTAAATATCGAGTCTTTAAATTTATAAACCTGGGCTAGGTAGTCTCTTAAATAAAGCGAAAAGCGTCCTGCCGGCAGGACCGGGCTTCGTCATTCTGTGACTAAAAATTATGTGAATTTTTGGAACATGTAACTTCTTCAAACTACCCAGCCCTTAGTTTTGAACTTACAAGCTCGATATTTATATGCGCTGAAAGCTTGTATCGTTATCTTTCCAATGATATATATCATTTTTTATTTATCTGAATCCATGTTAGTTTTCTTTAGTGATTTCGGAGGGACTCACCTGAGTCTTTTTCGTCCTGCGGGAAGGACGTTGGACGATTTATCATTAAATATTAATTTACAGAATCACTTCATAAGTTATAAATTTTAATGTTAATATATTCAGATTATTAAGTTTGTAAAATTTTAAATTTATAACACCATTTTTAGTAAATATTAATTGTTTAAGTCCATTTTATAGTTCATTTTAATGATTTTTACTATTCGCCAATTGTCTTAAATTTCTTTCACTTCAGATGTTCAAATAATTATGTTTTTTTAAGTAATACAAAAACTAATTTTTTTCTCTAAAAGTGTATCTATTTAACTTTAAAAACCTAAAATAGTTTTTAAATTAGTCAAATTTTTAAGAAACTACAGCGTTTTTTGTAAAAAAAGTCAATTTTGCAATTTTTTGGTGTTTTTTTGGGTTTTAC